GGGGGGGGGGGGGGGGGGGGGGGGGGCAGGGACATGAAAGACCCTTGCTTTTTCGGCTACCACACTGATTGAAGCTGGCCTTTCCAAAACTCCATCTCTCTCTCTCTCTCTCTCTCTCTCTCTCTCTCTCTCTCTCTCTCTCTCTCTCTCTTTCTCTCTCGCATGTACACACATGTGTTCTCCACACCCTAGTTGTAGACAACAACAGCTTCATATTTGGTAGTCATCTAGGCTACTAAGAAGCCATTAAAACCATAGTGTTTCAAGTTCTTGTCTCCTTTGTGTATTAATTATTTTGCCTTTGAGCTATGCATCCCTGGTCTGACCATTTTTTCAAGCCATTTCTCTACTTCCCTAGACTGGTTCACTCCATGTTTACATGGCCTTTTCGTTTCTGTGCAATGGCAACGTTGAATAGGGTATGTCAAATCCCAGGTCCTCCTCCAGGCCAGATGTTTAACAGTAAGTCAGTCATCTTACTTAATTGTGATCATCTTCTGGTCTTACCTAATGGATTCTAGCAGCGGGAGGTTAATTGTTCTTTAATTCTTGCCTTCTGCCACAATATCTGAAGCTAGATGAATCATGTTCGTGATTCATGAATCATGGACTTTAGATCTTTATTTCTTTAGATGTTTTGACTATAGTCTTCTCCTAAAACCAAAGTCTTCATAATTGGACCTCAAATTTAAAACTTCATAGATCTTTACTTACTGAGATCTCTACCAATTACATGGTTATTGGTGCACACACACAACACACACACATACACACACACACACACACACACACACACTTCCCTGAGCCTCATACCTAGTTCTGGGAACTCATGACCATCTTTCGTTTAGTCTTTTCCCCAATAAGCTACAATGAGAGACATCCAACAACTCATGAATACATATATATTTATTTAATTCATAATATAGCATTTTGGATGGGTTGGGATCTTTAGAGAGGGGTGAGACTGTGTAATCCACAGATGCTCATGTTTCTGTTACTAGGAGAGACACTATTCGTCCAGAGCTCCCAGTACAAACAAGCCTGGGGTAAAGCATTAGATAAAAAATAGTCCAACAATAGTCTAATAAATATTCTAGCCAATAACAATAACACAGCATATCTCTGAAGCTGGCAGACCACACCATAAAAGGCAGTTTTGCCTGACCTGATGGCAGTAAGTCTGGCCAACTTGTAATGCACAGCCAAATACAGCCCAGTGGCTCTCAGGCTGGAATTGGCTTCAGGAGCTACAAATAATTGCGGAAGTGGTTTATGTCTACCTGCCTCACATTCTCCATTCCTTGAAAGAAAGGGGTTTCAGCCTCTGAGCTTATTTAAAAGTCCATCCATGAACTGGTCCATCCAGGTAGTCATATACAAATATGTAAACCATGGAAGCTGAGAGAATTCACCTAGAATGCTTGAGCTGAAAAGCATGTATAAGTGATTTTTGCTGCAATATGAACTTCACTGCATCCAAAGACACACAATGGAATTACATAATAAAAACACAGCCAGATGCAGTTACTCTTACACGTAGCAAGAACATCAATGTGGCATTAAAATTTCTTCCGTAGTCTCAAAACAAGCTTAGCTTTATTTTGTGCTTTCTTCAACAAGACAATAGAAAAAGTGGAAACAAGCATAAATTGCAGACAGAAAATAATTCTCTAGGAGAAAAAGTTCTGAATAGTTAGATCAAGTAAAGCAACAATGACCACGTTCATGGAATCACATTTCCTTACGATGTTAAATGTAGGTCATGTTCTGTTTGTGCAACTGGCTTTAGCTAGAGGTAGCCTCTGGTCCCTGCCATTGCCAGTATTTTATGAAAGTCCTTAAGTTTACTGAAGTCATTATCTGGGACCCATCATAGCCCTCTGAGGGATTTGTCACCATGTTGTTTCTTGGAAGGCATTTCAATTACGTGCCTCAGAAGTTGGGATTTCAGAGTCAAGCTTCATTGCTTACCACAAACCCTATTGAGTTTCCCAGTTTCAGTAGCCAATTTCAGTAGGCTTAACTCTGCCTATAATGAAAACTTAAATCTACCTTCAAAGAACAATACGGTTCATTGAAGTTCATGAAAACATGAAATGTTATTGGGAAAATGATACCACATGCTCCAAAGACAATTCTCCATGATAACTGCCAATCTGGAACAATGTTCTTTTGTACATCTACAAACTAATATCAATACAGACTAAATAAGTAACCAACTTGTCCAAGAATAACAAATACCACTAGCGGACATTACAGTCAGAGCAATTTCGATTATTCATTTGTTCATTCGTATGCTCTTTCAACAAACATTAGTCAGGCAACTACTTTGCTCCAGACACTGTGCTGGGTCTTAAAATTACAGCAACAACAAAAGCCACGGTCCTTACCCTCAAGGTATTCCCACTCTAGCTGGAAAGAGAATTACTATACATTAAACTTTTGTGTGAATCAGAATAACCTGAGAAGTTTGTCACAAATCTAAGTTTTTTTTAATGTTCCCAGATAGTGTAATTAAATATATCAGGAGTAAAAGCCAAGCATCAATTGTTTCAAGGAACAAATCATAGAGGGTGGTTCTAAAATGGGTCTTCTGAGGATGGTCTTCTGAAAATGACCTTCTGAGAAATACTATCATACAATGTGATTATTGCTGAGAGGGGGTGCTCAGTGTGCCAGGGGAGTGCCCCAGAGGGCCATATATGCCAGTTTGGGAGGTCACTAGTTAACTGAGGGAAAGGTAGTCCCAGGCTGCCGTCAAAAGTAGAATGGGGAATAAAGCTTTGTTCCTAGAACTAAACCTTAAAAGGGCACAAAAACCAAACGACTAGTGTTGGGTATGTTGGTGGCACACATAGTGGATGCCAGGTGCTGTGCTTGGCAATGGATACACACTACCTTTATAAACCTGCGCACCAGCCTTATAAAATAAAATCATTTTACAGCCGGGCGATGGTGGCGCACGCCTTTAATCCCAACACTCAGGAGGCAGAGACAGGTGGATCTCTGTGAGTTCGAGACCAGCCTGCTCTACAACAACTAGTTCCAGGACAGGCTCCAAAGCCACAGAGAAACCCTGTCTCGAAAAACCAAAAAAAAAAAAGAAAAAAATCATTTTACAGAAGAGGAAACAGGCTCGGAGAAGTGCTTTCCTGAGGTCACACTGCTAGTTAGCTGGCAGAGAAGCTAGGACTGTCTCAGTCTCAAGGCTGGGAGCCTTCTAATACCACAAGTTTGTTACCAGCACTGCTGAGCTGTACCGATGTTGCCTATTCCCTGATGAGCCGTAAGGTACATATGCTATTTACAGTCAAAGGAACTGACTTTGCCACTTGACTTGTAAATCTGAGCCTTCCTTTTGTCTGGCCGCTGATCTTGCTTTTCATGGTAGATAGCAAACACTCCATAAGTGTTATTAGGCGAGATTTACAGCGATATGTTGTCTCTTATGCATAAGAGTGAGTCATTTGGCAGCAGGGACTGAATTTTAGTAATATGTGCACTCTTGCAGTTGTAGTGTGGCATCTAACAGTTCATTGAACAAATTAATAAATAAGAATCTGCCATGTTGGTCGAAAGAGGAGCAAACATTTGACACTGCGTCGAGGCTACAATACAATCCAGGTAATGGCTACTACTGTCACTTTACAGCCACACAGCCGTAATCACTTTACAACTGCCAAGGGGTGGACTTTGCTCCTGGGAGAAGATTCTATTTCTCTGGCGTTTCCAATCTTTGCAAAATAATTGGTGAAATCACAAGCCATGAAGCTCAATTTCCTTTAACTAGTCTGGTGAAAAGTAGGATGGGATTTGTGCTATTTGTCATGAAGGGGATGCTGAGCGAGTGAATAACGTAAACAAATTCACAAAAGAATGAGTATTGATCCTATCAAGGAAAATAGCATTTCAGGAGTGCTCCATCTGAAAATACATTTGTATTCATAGAGTTGTTGAACCTGTAACACTATTCTTACTGACCAAGTAAGGCGAGTTCTGAAGAAACTCCATTAAGGAACTCTATTTTTTAGCTTAAGTCTAATAACTATGCATTTGAGAGTAACAAAACTATATTTCTTTGAAATATTCTATGACAATTTTTAATAATTCAAATAAATCTCTATTAAATAATATTAATGAAATTATGCTACATGGCACACTTCTACTGGAATCAATTTTCAATGTAGCATTAGCATCTCTTATATCATCATGTCCACAGATCTCTCCTAATCTAACCAAGAGCTCTTCTCACTTCCTGCGTTGTGATTGCATGTGTTTGTACGTGTGACACGAGGGGAGAAAGGAAGGCTACAAAGGGAGGAAGAGAACAATGTCAGTCTACTGTGATGTTTCATCTCGGGAATAAGAATGGGCAGTATAATTTATTTTCCTTCTCAATATGTTTCTCACTTAAATGAGCAAATTAAGATTTATTGTATATATGTAATAGATAAAATGAACTATGTCATTTTGCTCATAAAATGAATTCAGTCATTTTATATATTATATATACACATGTATGATATTCTCATAACACCTCGATTGTTAGTTTATTAACATATAATATGCAATAATTAGACACTGTGCAAATTCTACCTGGTCAAACTAGCCGCTACTAGAAAGGCTAATTCCTTCCAGTATCATTTATACTCCCAAATCACTGGGAATTTTTAATTCTCCAATGATGACAGAGACAGTCTCTAAAATTCTTCCCCAGTGGCATGAACCCAGACTATTCAGATAATTTGTTCTGAGTAACTCAATACATAAATTCAAACATAAGCTTTAATGCACAAAAATTAAATCTACAATATCTAGTTATTTAGGACGGGTGCTTCCAAGGAACTTTCTTTTGTATCTCATATGGAACACTAATGGAGACTTAGGAGGGGAAGAGTGCTGAACTGGAGAGCCAGTGAATTACATGCTCTCTTGACACTTAATGGCAAGCTTTCATCCCGGACACATAGGGGGATTCTTGAGGCCTGCAGTTGCATTCCTGCCGCTCGGGATAATCAATAAAATCTGGGGCTGGCAAGCCAGACAGGATCATTAGGGATTTGTTCCAGATTGTGAATGTTGGACAAACTGGAAGAATGAAGGTCACATCGAAAGTGTGGAGATGGAGAGAGTTAGCCGGGTCATAGAAAGACAGCATGTTGTTGTCATAATCCAAGAGGACACCGAGCCGCTTCAGCTGTGGGGGCACATCCACCAGCATTTCCTTGTTGTTGTGCCTCACCACGAAGTTACTATTGCACCGCGAGAAGACCCAGGAGGAGGCATTCTTGCCAATCCACTCATTCTTCGGGGCTGATTTGTAGGCAATACCAATTGCATACCTGAGACCGTGGGGAAGACCGAAAAATACTTAGGAATGATACGAGTTGTGATAGACGTTCTTTAGGACTTATGAGTGACTATGTGCTTGTTCCTTTAAAAAACTTACATTTACATACATAATGATAACATCACCGGAGCTTGCAGAGCCAGCAATTACAGTGATACATCATTTCCCGTCGCCCAGCTCACTATATTTCCCATGATTTTATCTTTTAAAAGCCAGCCAAGTTTTCTAGGACTGGTTCGTATTGCATACATCTTAACTTTGACTTATTGCTATTTTAGTTGTGCTGTGGAACGGAATCTCCTGGGAACCTAACGGTAGAGAAGATGGGGGAAGGAAAGAAAAAAATATCCACTCACCATGTTGAAGAACCCATGACCACTTCCCAGTAGTGGCAGCCACTGTCAATGAATATATTTCCTGCTGCCCCATAACACCCCGTTCCACTAAATCTCTCCGGGGTATGGCTTTTCTTCAGAGAGCTTTCATCCTTCTCCATCTGCAATCCATCATTAGAGATCTTCAACTTCTTGTGAGTCATTTTGGGATCTAGTTTAAAGGGTTGGCCTGAAAAAGGTAGAAGAAAGCGGGGGAGTATGATAAAGCATTTAAGAACTCTGCCTTTCCCCTCCGGGATCATCATTAACAGAGGAGCCGCAATATGATGTTGATCCTCTGGTAAGGGCAGGTCAGCTGCAGTTTGGATTATATTAAGGAAGTAGGCAAGATGACACAATTTGCAATTAAGTAAGACTGTAAGTCACCCCCCCCCCCCCCCCCCCCCCCCCCCCCCCCCCCCCCCCCCCCCCCCCCGCTCACACACACCAAAATATCCTTCATGCAGACATTATCTTCCCTCTGTGTGAAAAATGTCCGTCTCTCATATCAGCCTTTTGAAGAAGCCATATTCCAAGCACATGGGAGCTAATAAAGTGTTCCCATCATGTATTATGAAATTAAAAGGGACCACGCAAAGTCTCACATCCTCTTGGTTTATTTCACTGAGTGGGTTGGGATTTGGGTAGCTTTTAAAGAATGTTGCAAAGGTTGAGATGGGAAAGTCTCTGTGTTAATGAGGCGATTGCTCAGAACAGAAAAGAAACTGAGGAGAACTCAGCAACAGGAGATGCTGGTTTTCCTGAAATTGGGGTGTGCATAGAATCTGGCAACTTTGCTGCAGTGGCTGCTCTACCATCGATGGTGAGAGCTAGCATTGCTTCACTGCAGCAACTCACAACCACATGGCTAAAGCACTGTCCCAGGGCCCAGGTCCTGGGTGCGGCAAGAGCGTTAGTATACAGTATGCTTCTGTGACAGACACCACGTACTAATACAGCGCCACTGTCTTCTATTTTTCTCTCTTACTCGGTCTTCCTGCCTTCCTTGCTACAAGGATAGCTAATAAGAAGGAAGCTGAAGTCAAACAGATTGGAAGAAATGTCCAGTTAAGCTTCTGTTTTCTTGATTAAAAGATTACCAACTTTTCTCTTCTTCTTCCTGTCTTAAGGGAAACAGGGCATCAGCAGCTGCACTGGCTATCTGGTGGCCTTGTGGATAAGCAAAGACATAAAGAAGGAGCTCCAGCCTTCCACGAGATCTCAGAGCTGCTATACTAGCCATCAACAGGCTGCCCTCAAACTTCTTGCAATGTATGACAGGCAGTTAAAAAACAGACAGACAAACAAACAAAGACCACTATTCACTTAAGCTACTAGGAAATGCCTGTTAAACTCCATCAGTTGTGACCAAGAGCATTCCTAACAGGTACGGCTTCTCTGTGGTACAGCTTTGTAGACCATCATTAATAATACTCTTTAAGCATGGGAGACGGGGGTGGAAGGCAGATAAAAACCCTTCCCTAATTTCTTTCCGAGCCACGCACGATTCTCTATATCTTAGTCCACAAACAGCCGTGGGCACCAGCAAATCCCATACACAAAGCTCACAACAGTGAAGCTCCCCCACCCACTGCTACTGTTCTCACACATTACTATGGGAGTCTCGCAGGCTAATTGTCCTCCCTGGCCCAGAGAGGAAAATGGGTCTTTCCTCCTAGAATCTCTACAACGTACTGTTTGTTTTCAGTCTGGTGGGTTCGCTGTTCCGGCTGCCCGCTTGATTTATGGCTTTCACAATAAAGATGTAGCGTGTCCCACTCTGGAGGCCGTGCACTGTGTAATGGTTCTGTTTAATGTTGGGCACAATCATCCAGCTATCCACTGAATTATACAGGCCTGTGAAGTGGGGGGAAATGAAGGCATCAATCAATAGGTAAAAAACCTAGGATTAAAGTAACAACAACAAAAAATACCGATAATCAATCATAACCCACCGATGTGAATTCATTTTGTTTCTTCTGAGGCTTGAAAGATATAATGAGATGAACCAGTACTTATGATTCCATTATTTATTTATTTGCCACACACTTAGACTTGTGCCAGGTTTCTGGCATCTAGCAACCACTGACCAAGGCTAATTTCTCTCTCTCTCTCTCTCTCTCTCTCTCTCTCTCTCTCTCTCTCTCTCTCTCTCTGGCAAAGAACGCAAGAATGGGCACTATTCCAAATGGTAGAATCCTCACAGTTACTGGCCTTTCTGTGCAAACTCAGCCCGGCCTTGCAGGAATGGAAAAGTTCCTGTACAGAACTCAGCAACACGAAAGCTCGGAGCAGAAAGGACACCTGGGCATGAATTTCCTTCATTTCACAGGGCAAACAAGGATGGAAGGAAAGTGACCCGCCCATGGTCATAGATGGTGCTCAAAGTAGAACCCTGTGATCTTTTTCTCCTACACCAGTGATCTGTGCACTGTATCACTGTGTGTGGTGGGGAGGGGGTTGGCGAATGGCCAAATATAGCCTTTGTCCCTGTACGATAGTGAGGTGGTCAGAGCTATTTTACTCTGCTTTCCCAACTCATCTGCACCTGTCTTTTCTAAAATTTCTGGACTCCAAAAGAAGTCAAGATGACATGACAAACCAGGGCAGAATCTGCTTGCTCTGATAGGACAGGCTTTTAGCTCTTCATGGATTGATTCCCATATTCTTCTGGGGTCGTGTGGTCCACAATTATATTACTGTCCAAAAGATTTTTTTCTTTCCAAGCATGGAAAAGGGTCTCAAGAATGCTTTTGCTTTTGAAAATAATCTTTAGGTTACAAATATTAACTTAAACAGGGGGGAAATATATGTGATTAAAAGCAAGCATTTGGCTAGCTTTCAGGAAAATGAATCTATTCTGTTGGTTATTATTTTTCTTTCTCTCTACTGTTATCTGTTTCTTAATTGGTATACCATTTTAAAATACAATTCTACTTGAAAATGGAGAAGAAAGGACAAGGAAAATGAAGACAAAATTTAGTCCTTATAATACGCCTCTAATGAAGGACTCAGTGAGATCAGAAATTAGATATCTCGTTATGACTACTTTACAAGGGATCTGATCAGGAGACTTAAAATTAATTTGAGGTTAGATAGGAAAGGCCTAAATTAGAACTAGAAAGCAAGACGTAAACTGGGCACAGTGGTACACCTGTAATCGCAGCGCCTCAGAAGTAGAGGCAGGAGGATCAATGAGCTAACGAGCAGCCTCAGCTATAGAACAATTTCTAAGCTCAGCCAAGGCCATCTCAAAACATCAAATAAAAACCGAACAGACAAACAACCATCATAACAGGAAACAAAAAGATATACTATAGAAATAGCCCGACTTGGTTGAGATAGTAAATGACTCTTGTTGAAAAAGGAGAAGGGTTAGAACAAAGCTGTGGCCTGTGTTATCACTGGACAGTATGAGCAACAAACCACAGAACTTTTATCACAAAGAGGATACTACAGGGTCTCCCAAAAGGTTTTTAAAAAGCAGCTACAAATATTTGTTCACAGTGAAGTACCATGTAGCTATTTTTTTTTTAAAGAACAAGCTGATGGCGAATTAGTTCCAAGAAATACAGCCAACTGAAAACCCTAATTATAAAAGACCATATATAGTATATAGTATTTTCAAGGGAAATAGAAATAATAAATCATATTACATTTTCTTGGATTTACAAAAACAATAACCACAGTAAGTATAACCTAGGAAATAACAAGTTTGGCCACTTACGAAGGTAAAAGGGATACCAGACAAAAGGATAATTCTCTGCATACACTTTTTAGCATATTTTCTCTTTTAAGGAACTTTTTATTAAATAAATCAATAAATTTTCATTTCAAAATTTAAAATATACATCAATTCAAAAGGTTAAAATTAAATCAATAAACAAAAATAGGAAAGATGGGACTAAAGGCAAACTGAAACAAGTTATACCCACTGCATCTTAAAGGAATAATGACCATAAAAAGTACAGTCGAGGGGAGAACTGTTCAAGTGCTCCTCCAGGCAACTACATCCTCAGCCCCTGGGCGAATCAATTCTAAAAATATGACAGACATATGACAGGATTGAGCAAGTACACACTGATGCTGTTGAGACTCAAGAGTCTCACCGTGGAGAAAAGAGCATGCAGCATAGGGAATGAGAGAAAGCAAGAAGGAGCTTGTGGCGATGAATGAGAAAGGAATGAACTTGATGTGGCTTGCATGGTGTCTGACAATGTCCCCCTTGTTCAAACTTTCCCTCCAGGAGAAGGCAGGAGGTTCATGAGACCCAGGAGGTAAACAAAGCCATCACACCTCTGGGAAAATGAAACTTGGAAGATCCTCTAAGGCTCCTCCCCCAGTTTTCCAGAAGGAGTAAACAACTGCTGGGGGAGGAGACTTTGAGCAGCCCAGGTGAGGAGGCGAAACCACTGAACCGCCTGCAAACTGTGCTGCTGAGAGCTCCAGGCTTGCAAATTTCCTAAACCATGATCCATGTGGTAGTGGGATTTTTGGTGATAAAGTTGCCTTTTTGAGCTATCCCTTCTTTTTCAAGTAACTTTTTACCCACATTCTTATAAGCTATTCCAATAAAAACACAGTGGTGCAGCAAGTTGGATTTTGTCTATTTTGAGTTCCCTTTCTGGGATAGGTAGGTGTGTGTGTGTGTGTGTGTGTGTGTGTGTGTGTGTGTGTGTGTTGTGTGTTCAGCAAAAGCCTCTCACACAACATTGTATGACTTCTAAAATATTTACAGTTAGTCCCCTTTATCTGTGGGTTTTGCAATCAAGGATTGGATCAACTACAGATTTGGGGGGGGCGTTTAAGGTAGAGTTTCTTTGTGTAGCCTCTCCTAAAACTCACTCTATAGACCAGGCTGGCCTTGAACTCACAGAGATCTGCTCTGCCTCCCTAGTGCTGGGATTAAAGGTGTGTACCACCATGACCCAGCAGATTTTTAAAGTGTTTTTTTTTTAAGGGTTTTGATCCTACTTCATGTTCTGGCTTTGTGGGAGCCTAGCCAGTTTGGATGTCCACCTTCCTAGACCAGGATGGAGCGGGGAGGACTTTGGACTTTCCACAGGGCAGGGAACCCTGACTGCCCCTCAGACTGGAGAGGGAGGGGGAGAGGAGTGGGGGGAGGGGGAGAGGAGAGGGAGGAGGGGGGAAAAGGGAGACGGGGAGGGAAATGGGAGGCGGGGAGGAGGCGGAAATCTTTTTTTTTCAATAAAAAATTATATTTAAAAAAAAGATTTATTTATTTTTATTTTATGGATGTTTATTGTGTGTGTGTAACAAGTGTATGCAATAGCTACAGAGACTAGAAGAGAGTGTAAATCCCCTGAAATTGGAGTTACAGACAGTTGTGAGCTTCCATGTGAGTGCTGGAAAATTATGCTAGATCCTCAGTAGAAACAGCTAGTACTCTTCAGCACTGGGCTGTCTTTGCAGCCCCAACAAACTACAGATTTAAAGATTGGAGACAGGACATTACCATGTAGCCCAAGCTAGCTTGAAATCCTCTATATAGAAATAGACTGTCCTCAAATTCATGATTCCTCAACCTCAGGTATAACTTCCCTGCATATGCCAAGATGTTTGAGGCTAAACACAGTTTTCTAAATTATATCTGCATAGAATATGTATGGTCTCTTTTCATACTATTCCCTAAACAATAGAATAACGATTCATAGAATTTATACTTTATGAAGCAATATAGTCTACAAATGACTTAAAGTATATAGGAAGATGGTTATAGATTGTATGCAAACACTACACCATTTTATGTAGGGATTTGAGTCTTGAAAGATTCTGGGATCCTCAGCAGGTCATGTAAACCAATCTCACCTGGATACTAACAGGCAATTATACATACTTCCATATATATACAGATGTGCACATATGTAGATTATATACATATATATATATGTGGCAGTTTTAATGAGAATGCTTCCCATAGACTCAGATGCTTGGATACTCGATCTCTAGTTGGTAGAACTGTGTGGATAGGTTTAGGAGGTGTGACTGGAAGAAATATGTCCCTGAGGTTTTTAAAAGTCATATGCCATTCATAGTTCAGTCTTTCTGCTTCCTGTTTCAGTTCAAGATGTGAGTTATCAGCCTGATTCTCCTGCTACTAGAAAATGGGCACTGCTTTAAACAACAAGGATTATTAAAGACAAAGAAGGACTGAGGAAGCCTGCCAGGCTAAAGAAAGCCCAATATACGATAATTAAATGTAATGTTAAAGCCTAGATTATCAAAGTCAATGCTGGGCTATTTATATATTATAATGAATAGTATTGAATTAATTATCAAACTTGGAATGCAAATGGAGAGTTATATAAAAGTATTATGTGGTTGTTAAATTTTTTTTGAGATAGAATCTCACCATGTATTCCTGGCTAGCCTTGAACTCACAGAAATCCACATACCTCTGATATTAAGTTTCTTAGAGTTGACAGATGTATAAAGGGTTAGGGAAGTATGGAGAAGAGGGGTCAGAAATAACATAAGAGCCAGAAGATAGGGAGCAGGGCTGTGACTTGCCATCTTCCTTACAAAACTCAGTCTGTGCAACAAGAACTCAGGAGGTGTGGATACCTGCACCGAGTCTGCATAAGAATGGGCCTGTCAGAGCTCCTAACTCTTGTAACAGCAGATCTAGGGGATTTCCTGTCTTCTTCTGGCTTCAGGAACAGCAGGGATGGTGCACATGCATAGGTTCATATGCATAAAATAAACATAAATAAATAACAAATCCAAAAAACAAAACAACAAAAGGATGGGCCTATCACCAGTCATACCTGAATGGAGGAAAGTTTCAGGAACCTTAGTCTTCGCTGATAAACTATTCGATATTGATAGATTCAGGGAGAGAGGTAATCACTGCCTTGAAGTATATACCTACTAATGCCCGCACCGGGTTTAGATGAACAATTCCAATCTAATGGTCATACAGACGTCTCTTGTTAAACGAAATGGATTGCAAAACAAAACCAAAAGTTAGGATTCTGGGAAAGGCCCTCATCAGGATGAAGGGAGTGGACAGAGATGTGAACTAAAAGAGGGTGTGAGTAAGAGCAATCCAATACTCTGTTTACATGTATGAAATTGTCAAATACAAAGACAATCAAGTGTAAAGAGCATTTCCTTTTGGGAAATCTACATTGAAGAATTTAGGGGGGTGAAAAGAAGTGATGGATGCAAATTTACTCTCAAATGGTTCGGAAAATACAGTCAATGGAACAGATAAGAAAGTAAAATATCAATCGAATGCCAATATGGGTAAGAAGTACAGGGTGTTCTTTGTGTTAGTATTGCAATTTTTTTAAATTTTGAAATCATTCCTATTTTTGTTTGTGTGCACGAACGTGTGTGTGTGTGTGTGTGTGTGTGTGTGTGTGTAGGCCAGAAAGAAAAGCCAGAAGACAAGCCTGGGTGTCAATCCTCATGCACTGTCTATCTTTTTGTCTGAGACAGCCTCTCACTGCCTTGGAACTAATCCAGTAGGCTGTCTGTCTGGCCAGCAAGCCTCAGGGATCTACCCATTTCTACCTCCCTAGCACCGGCATTGCAGCTGTGCTACCGGGCTGAGATGTGTTTACACAGGGGCCAGGGACTGAACTCAGCTGTTTACATGTTACCCTCTGCACTGTCTCCCTCGCTACCATTCCTGAGTTTATAAAGCTAAATATACGATTGTGTGGTTTTCAGTAAGACTTGGTGTGATGGGACCTACAAGTAAATTGTGGTAATGAAAGCACACCCCTTATTCAAAGGAAGTGCCAAAATAGGAAAATTTAAGCAACAGGACATGCACACATGTGTGGTGGAGACGGCTGAATCGGTGGAAAGATAAAGAGCTGAAGTTCTAGCTTTGTGGCGATGTGCTCCAGACTGCCTGACCAGACAGAGGTTATGTCCAAGTCTTTGTAATACAAAAATCACTGAACTAGAAAGATAACAGAGTATCCAGGAAGACAAACACTTGTTGGAATTCTCATTCACCTCAGAGTATGGCCTGAAACCTTATTGTCTGTGATCATTTAAATCTTAGAAGAGGTCGTAGAAGAGCTCAAAATAAAGGGGATAAGTTAAGAAGGAGGGAGAGCTACCTCTTTCGACATAACTACTCTGGGAGTCTGAGGTAGGAGAATTGCTATGAACCCCAGGTTAACAAGGGTTCCTGCCTCAAAAAAAAGAAGGGGAGAGGAGAAGAAAAAGGGGGCAGCAAGAAAGCAAGCAAGTGAGCTAGGAAGGGATTTCTAGATAATGACAATGTGAAAAATATCTCAAGAGAAAGTAGCTCTCAGCACTTGTGTTCACTCAACAGGGGCAGGCCTGACTGATAGGACTGGAGTGCTGAGTCTTCATTAATAGTTCTTTCGAGTAAAATGGTTGCCCATTGCCTTTAATCTCACTACCTAGGGGGCAGAGAAAAGGGAATCGCTGAGTTCAAGACCAGTCTTGTCCATACAGTGAGTTCCAGGCCAGCTAGGGCTACAAAGGGAGGACTCATGTAAAAAAAAATTACTCATTGCCATTTGAATTTTTGCTGCAAGGGTCTTGCGCCTATCCTACTGAACTTTTCTGCCAATGTATGAAAGCACAGATGTCAGGCTGAGAGGAAAATCAAATGTACTGAAAAGTAGAAAACAGATCTAAGAGGATCTGGGCATGATGGGATACAGAGTCAAGGGTAACAAGACAAGACGTAATAGGCATAAATTCAAAGGTGTTTAGTTTGAGTTGAGTGGGGATAGAAATTATCATACATAGAACTCTCGTTAAGTTTATGCTTGGGAACATTTGGTAGTCAATGCGGCTGCCAAAAAGGTACAGAACAAGAGGGAAGCAACTTATGCACAAGAAACATACCCCATTGACTGGGGCCACACCTGCACTGGTAGATGCTTGTCCAGTATGAAGAAAAGCCCTAGATTCCTTCTCCAGCTCTACATAAAACCAGATGTGGTAGTAAATTCCTACAATCCTAGCACTCAGGCAGTGCTGACAGAAGAGCCAGAAGTTCAAAGTCACTCTCTGCTACACAGTAAATTCAAGGCCAGCCTGAACTACAAGAGACCCTGTCTCAGAGGAGAAAAAAAAAAGACATAATTCATCTACCCTTTGGGGAAGTCAAACCACGTTTGGAGTACTTATGTTCACTTTTGACACAAAGCACATTTGAAAAGCACTTTAACCGAAAGAAGATCGCCCATCAAAAGAATGCTATGCTGAGAAAGGGTCTGAAGAGCACATTGTACTAGGAGCATCAAAAGAACCAAAGATGCTGAGTCATAAAAGCGTAACGTTAGTAGTTACATATGAGCTACCCCAAATGCCTGAAGAACTGTTATGGTCAAGATGGAAAAAGTTTCTTAATGAGGCACAAAATGATTTATCAAGGAACATCAAGCTTGAAGTCTGGCCGTCACAGGTTCCGATCTTGTCCCATCATTTTGGAGTTCTGTGTCCCTGGGAAACTCACTTAACCTGAGCACCAATTTCTTCACATATAAAATTGGAATCAATATAATCTCTTTCAGAAGAGCACTTGAGGACTAAATGAGAGTGTGAGGACGGCAAAGCAGAGTGCACACATGGCTTTCCTTCTGTCCTTATTATTTACCAAGAGAAACAGGCCTCTTCCAAGGAAGCACTGGAAATCATGTATAGCTGCTCAAAAATCAAATGGACTGTTTTCATGAAAATGAGCATGTCCTTATTAGCAACATTCAAGCAGAGACATCTACTTGTCCAGTAAAAGCGAAGATTAGACTTCTAAGATGCTATTAACCTTAGCATTAGTAGCACTAGCAGAAACTCCTTTAGACCTTCATTTACAAAGGACTCTGGCTTTGAAAGCAGAGGAGACAGTTTTTAGGCTTGTCAGTTCTTAGACCTGTTCTCAGGTTCTGGGAGATAATTGTTCTTCCTCTATCAGGAAGGGAAAGGACAGTTCCTATCTTTGACATGGGCTTCCAGAACTTACAGAGTGAACTGGAAGAGGAGACTTATAGTAAGGTCTTAGAGCCTATGACTTCATAATCTGAAGAGATGCCCAGAAACATATGGCCACATGAACCAAGTGCCTTAGGCTGGAACTTCATGAGGCAAGTATTTTTTAATGTTATATTCTCAAATATCCCCTTATCTCTCCTTCCTAGTTCTGTCACAAAACAGAATTCTGCCCATGAATTGTCGCCAAATAAGAAAAGAAAGCCCATAAGGAGGGTTTATGTGAAGGAAGAGTCTATTCATGTTGGTCTGTGAAGAACATAAACGCAAAGTGCAAAGTCAAAGAAAATATTAATGTGCAGCTTTGCAAATGCAACTCCTTGGATTCAGCTTGGATTCCGTTTTGTTTCCTGTTGTGGGATATTTGTACACTGTGTGAAGATATATTGTTGCGATTGGCTTAGTAAAGAGCTGAACGAGGCAAGAGGTAGAGGCGGGACCTCTGGGCAGAGAGAGAAAGGAGGAAGAGATAATAAAGGCATGGGAGACTCCAGGAGAAGTGGAGAGGAAACAGAAGTTGCAAGATGGAAGTGAGGTAATGCCACCTGATAGGATGCAGATTAATAAAATATGGGCTAATTTAAGTTGTAAAAGCTAGTTGAAAACAAGTAAGCTAAAGGCCAAGCGTTCGTAATTAATAACAAGTCTCCATGCCATTATTTGGGAGTTGTCTGGCAGGACAGAAAAAGACTCATTACAGTTTCCATTGCTTTCTCTCCCCCTAGCCTCCTCCCTCCAGTAAACTGAGGGGACCTTTCTGCTCAATGCCTACTAAGTGTCAATCAGTTAAGTTCCTGCTGTGCCCGGTCTAGCTCCAGTTCAGCAGAAGGTGAAATCATGTTAACAGGTAGGCTGAAGAGCAGCCTTTGGAACATCTTTAACTATGATCCGCGGATACTGCTTTTTGTTTGCTTTTTGACACGGGTCTTGAAATTGCAATTCTACTACCTTAACCTCCTCCACATTGGGATTATCAGCATGAACCACTGATCTGGCCCTGTCACGTTTTTATATTTACTGGAATTATTTGTGGAAATGCAGAAGTAGCAAAGAGAAGAACGGCAGGGCAGAAAACTGATTTACATGTTCATAGACACAAATAGGTAATGAAAGGGGTAATGGTCTTTGAACATAATTTGATCGTGATAATGAAATGGAAAAAGATACAGAGAGAGAGAGAGAGATAGATTTATTCACACATGTGGAATGGGGTGACTTACAGCTACCCAGGAACAAATATTGAACAGCACTTTGTATCAATGGAGTGGTATGGATTTAGAAAAGGCTGAGGATTACATAAACCATTGTGACTGATCCCAGTGACTACCCAGCAAGAAAATACACAACCAACTTATCAGACACCAGTAATGTTTTACAGTATCCTGGGGAGCTTACACTGTCTATGAAAGTCTATACTAAACAACCTCACATGTCTTGCAAACACTTGCCTCGTGGCGCACCGGCCAATCTTGAGCAGCTTACTGCTTCCTTACATTTCCTTATCTCTGGCCACAGGCCCCAACTACACCATGACTTACTGATGAAGTTAGCCTGGCCAGTGAATATGGTGTACTGAAGCTCATAGGAGCTGATGCTGAACTCATCGTCCGAGATCCAGTGGACTGTAATGGTGTCATGGGAGGCGGTACAAAGTTCTTCTCGGATAGATGGTGGGTTTGGGGCTGAAAAAAACATAAAGAAACGGTTAGGAAATACCTTGTCTCTTCAGAAGAGGTAGGAATTTTTGTTATTGTATTATTTTTTCCAGTCTTCGGGATTAAGCCCATGATAGACAAGCACAGTACTACTGAGCAACACTCTCAGCTCTGGAGAAAGTGTCTTAATAAACAAACTTGGACAAGAATCATGCAGACTGAAGCTCTGTACTGAGACCTCAAGCCCTCCCCAGCTACTTTTGGCAAATATGTATGACTAAGTAATTGCAATGCCTTCTCCACCTTTCTAAAGTGCCTGGGAAAGCACGTATGTAGATAGCAAAGCAAAATAGTTTTTCTTGTTACTTGGTTTTCAACCTATTTTTATTTCGAAATAATCTTTTTGGAGACATTTGACAGTATTTAAATGCTAATTAATAAGAATTTCTCACTGTAAAACGGGCATTACCAAATAGATTTGTTATGAAGAATAATAATGCAAAATTAATATATAGTGTCTGGGATAAAATAGATAACAAGTAATAGCCGCATTGGCATCATAACAATATAGCTACAAACAAGGTTATTGTGTGTAGATTTTTCTCAAGAAATGACCATTGAGTAATCCTGAAGGTAGCCAGCATTCTTAACAAGCTGGTTTCATCCTTTACTGTCTTTGTATTCTTCACGGGTATTTTTTAGTCTTTATTCCAATCAGCTTAACAAATGTAGACTGTCACTTCTAACACCAATTTGGTACATGAAAAATTTGTCTGGAAGACTAATCCTGAGTCCTAACAGCTCAGGGAAGTAATATGATACTTAATAAGAAACAAATTTGACAAATTTATTTTGATAAAACTCTTCTTTCTGTTGCTACCCAGGACTGAACCATATGAAATACTGGTCAAGATCTTTGTCAATGAGCCACAGCCCCTCCCCCCAGACATCCGCTTTTCTTTTATGTAACATGAACCAAAAGATATTGTTTCTATAAAGGTACATGTAGCTAAAACTATACCACCCTGAACATACCTGATCTTTTCTGAAAAGATGCATGTATTATGTAAAGGTTTATGTAAAAATTATCATAGTAAATCTTTTCCTTTTCAGATTATTTAAACTAAAATGGTACAGAAAGACAATTAAATAAAATGGGAAGGAAAGCACAGCACATTCATACCTGTTAAGTAGTCTAGCCCCTCCAATAGTTTCTTTTCTCTAGAAAAATCTAAAGCAAAGTTTTCAAAAGCATCATTAAAATTAATGTCTGGAATCAGAACTTGAGAAGATGCAGTTGCCATAGCGACCCTGAAAAGAAAAAAAAAATACATCAATATACATCAAAATAGGCTTGGAACCTTCATCTAATGTTTGATTTCTGGTTTAACAAGGTAAAAATAAATCACTTGTAAGTGAAAATACCACATTTCTGCCTTTTCAATGGAAACAGTTTCAATTTTAATCATAAGGAATCAATTAAGAGTTAAACCATATTTATACACATATGTTCACCCCTCAAACACACTCCTCCATTCTGTCTTAATTTTGAGAAGTAAATACAGGATTTTTTCCCCTCTGCATCATTTTCCATCTGGCAGACAGCAACAAAGTAGTCCTCTGCTGGCTTGGTGAGAGCAGTTTAAGATTGTTTTTCTACATCTTTTTCATGCTAATTTACAAACCAACATGCTGGATGAATGCCTTCCCACTAATACTATTCATTATTTCTCTTTTACAATATTTATATTTCATTATATTATTCTGATGTCATAATACTGTGATAATGTTATGTCCCACACTAATTCTTATCTTCTTTCTCACTTATTTGTTTGTTTGTTTCTTTATGATAGGGTTTCATATATCCCAGGATAGTCTTGAACTTGCTACACAGCTAAGAATAACCTTGAACTCCTGATTCTCCTGCTTCTGTCTTCTGAGGGTTGGGAAGATGGGCATGTGCCACCATGTTCAATTTAGGACGTGCTGGGGTTCAACCCATGACTTTGTGGGTGCCAGGCAAACACTCTGCCAACTGAGTTAAATCCTTGGGTTCATCTCCCCAACTACTTTTAAGAAACCCAGCAATAAGGATCCAGTTTTGTACCATTATATCTTCTTCTATAGTTCCTAAAACAATGTTAGATACATAGGGAATAAAATACATGCTGAATGAGCGACTGAATGACTTACAGTGACAATATGATGCTACCATTTATGGAATGCTTAATATAGAGAGTATATATATATATCATGCTATATATATGTGTGTGTGTGTGTGTATATATATACCTAGTGCATAAAAATGAAAATTTACATAAATTATCTAATTTTCTCCCTACCACAATGTTATGTAGTAGATGTTATTTCCATTTTGTAAGTGAGGAAGCATGCACATTTAAAAGCTAAGTAAGCTGCCAAAATCACACACAATAGTAAAAAGTCAAAATTTAATTGAACCCATATCCATTTGATTCTAAACTGTTTCCATACCCATTTATTTATTGCTAACTTTATGTGTACATTTTATGTATGTCAGCAATTCTTATGATCTGATGATTAATCAGACTTATCTGAAGGAACTTTTACAAAAATCGTCAGGTTTCAGTTCTGGATCAGATCTTCTGAGTGAGAGGAACTGAAGGTCCTTGTGCATACAAATGGCAAGATAGAAGGAGAGGAGGAAACATTCATTATCTTGGAAACACTATGCAGATTCTAGCAGACAGAAGAGGCATGGAGTAGAGGAAAATCAGAACAGAAATTTTTATGCTGAGCCATTTGTAAGGACATGAGGAATTGAACAAATATATATACTCTGCTGCATGTCTACAAACAATACCTCTTGACTATTTCTGAGAATGTAGATGTTTCTGGAATACACTGCATGACAGTATTAAGAGATGAGAGATTAACAATACAAAGACAACTATCCCCAGAAGAAGTTACTTTTTGTTTTATTGTTCTGTATGTGTGTATTTTGTTGTTGTTGGTGTTCTGTTTTTTGAGACAGGGTTTCTCTGTGTAACAGCCCTGGTTGTCCTGGAATTAGCTCCGTAGCCCAGGCTGGTCTCGAACCCACAGAGAACTGCCTGCCTCTGCCTTTCAAGTGCTGGAATTAAAGGCGTGCGCCACCGCCATGCCTGGCTGGAAGTTACTTTTAAGCCATGACTACATTATGAATACTTAACAAAGATTAAAGGGTAGAGAATGAGGCAAAATCATGTAAGGCATTACCTTCTTTGTTTTTAGCTTAAACTTTTAACCTAAGAATAATAGGATCCACGAGAGCAATTTAGATAGAGGGGTGATGTGCATACATCTATGGCTTTTTTCAGAGCTGTGGCCCGAACCCAGGGCCTTGTGCTTGCTAGGTATGCGCTCTACCACTGAGCTAAATCCCCAGCCCCCACATTTATATTTTTTTAATTGTTTTTATTGAGTTATATATTTTTTCTCTGCTCCCCTCCCTTCCTCCCCTTCTGCACGCCTTTAATCCTAGCACTTAGGATACAGAGGTAGGCGGATCTCTGTGAGTTTGAGGCCACCCTGCATTTATGCTTTAAGAACAGTTTTAAAGCTGTAGGGGAGGGAAGTCAATGGAATCTTAAAGTCCCCTAGGAATAAGCAGTAAGTGAAGTATTAATGAGGCAGAATAACATGGCAGGAAAATTAAAGAGGTCTCTGCTATAAGCCTTCAACTGTTATGGAATCTCACAATAACTTAGCCCATTCACAATAAAAGGCATGTCTTAAGACCCTTGTGTAACCTGCAGAAGCCCTGGTTTTGCCTTATCAGGTTGCAATCTTACCCAAGGCTCCTACAGAGCTATTCCATTATTTCACTTATCTAAAAGGAGAAAGAGACAGAGTAGAGGTGTTTCTTTTGAAACACTTCAAGCTATATAATTTCAAAAGACTGTAACATTTTATATTCAGGCACTGCTAAGGCATTCAAGGGGGATGCTTTCTTGAGAAGCCCAAACGTATGCTCTTGGCTGTGCTGTATCCTTTTCCCAAGCACCTTTTTCTTTCTATTTACACTCAGGTTCAAATCGATGTGAAACGGTCTGCCTAAGATACTCCAATTCTGCTCCCAGCTGACTCAGCCCGAGATTCCTTCTCATCACTCCAGTGGTGGTCTCAGAAAAGAACCCCTCAGGCTGCTGCAGGGAGGGGACAGTGTAGTGCTGTGTCTCCAGCCAGAGACCACTGGCTGTGACAGGCACAGGAGTGGAAACAAACTGAAAAGGGAGTAGAGGATTTATTTACTAAGCGGTCAAAAATCCCTGGCTTCAGTCCTCTAATACTGCACACACACACACACACACACACACACACACACACACACACCTGAAAATTGATTGAAAAACCATGAAAACATGGGACCAGTGTGATGGTCAATGGGTAAAGGTGTCTCTCACCAAGCCTGACTGCCTGAGTTTGATTTCCAGAAATCTCACTGTGAAAGGAGAGAATCGACTTTCCTAAGTTGTTTTCTGATCTCACACATGTGGATTCACACACATACCCACAAAGAGGGACATCAATAAATGAATGGATAATAAATAGATACATTAATTAATTAAAAATAAACCAACAGCACCATGAAAACAAGCCAGATGTGGTGGTGAATACCTGTAATCCCAGAACTCAAGAGGATTTCTAGGCTCTGAGGTCAGACTGGACTACGAAGGGAGTTCTAGGTCAGCCAGGACTAGACAAAAATAACAGCGGCAATAATAACAGTGTTCTATGGAACGAAACAGCCGAGAAGACTTTAAAGGGCAAGCACACCGCAGGGCATGTCAGCACACACCTGGAATCCCAGAACTCAGGATGTTGAGGCAGCAAGATCATGAGTCCCAGGCCGGGCTACATGGCAAGAACCTGCCACAGAAAATCCAAATACATGAGAAACTGAAGAAATGTAAATTAAGACAGGAAAGCATTTAGATTACAAGCAAGATAATATAAGAACTTTTATGTCTATACTAAACAATGCCTAGATGAAGCAAGATAAAAAAGATGGAAAATTGGGGGACATGAGAAAAACGGGGCCTCTCACCCAGAAGCCTCTTGCCAGAAATGAAGAAAGAATTTTCGCACAATTAACAACTGCTTAAGTTTCTCCCTTTTCAGCTGTAAAGCTGTATTTTTCTCTAATCTCACCAGAAATCCCATTTAGAGAGAAAAGGCTTGTACTAAGCCCATTGAAAGACCACAGTATCTTCTGGCTTAACCCATCAGGTTAGAACTCAATACAAGGCATCTCCAGAGTCACCATATAATCTCAATTCTCAAAAGAGAGAGAAAGAGGGTGGCAAAAGGTGCTAAGGTTACTTAGCTAGCAACCTTTTAAGCTGTAACTTGAGGGCCAACACAAGGGTCTATACGGTTAATGCCAAGGCCGTTAGTTATGCGCCTCCCTCGTGGAGTCCACATCCACAACTTCGGTATGCCTAATTTTCCATGACTCTTTCTTATACTCTGTGCATGTCTTATTTTCTGTGGCTCCCTTGAGGCGTTCACATCCATACATGGGCATTTAATTCTCTGTAACTCTTAGGGGAGGCCAAGTTCACACTCTTAGGTGTGTCTTTGTTTCCATGGGTGCCTCTTTCTCCTAACCCTTGTGCTTCTCCAACTCTGCTTCATCACACTGGCTGGTTTTGAAATGCTTTTCTACATCAAACCCATGAATCCCAGTTTGGTCTGGATGGAGGTCTCTAAGGGTTCAGAACTCCCCAGGCTGCTGAGGATAACAGTGTGGAGCTGTATCTCAGGGCTGATGCACATATCTTATTGAAACGGAAACAGATATGTGGGAGGGGAACACTGCATATCAAAACAGTTTCTGATGAAATATTTGTTGACACTAGTTCTACTTCATACATATTTTAAAAGATTTAGTCATCTAGTTGTGTGTGTGTGCACATGTGTGCACAAGTGTGTGAGACTATGCATACAGGCAGAGACCAGAAGAGGGTGTGGAGTCCTCATCTGTCACCATCCACTTATTCCTGTGAGACTTCCTAAACCTAGAGCCCACGTTTTTCATAAATACTGGAAGCCAGACAATTCCAGCAATCCTCCTGAATCTGTACCCCTCAAAGTTGGGGTTATAGGCATGGGTAGGGCAGGGAAGTTATCTTATGTGGGTGGTGGGATCTTTTTTTTTAAAGATTTATTTATTTTATATATTCCTGCAGGGCAGAAGAGGGCACCGGACCTCATTACAGATGGCTGTGAGCCACCATGTGGTTGCCTGGAATTGAACTCAGGACCCCTGGAAGAGCAGCCAGTACTCT